AACCACAATGATAATACTGGCAAAATTTTGGTAAAAGAATACATTGGTAAAATACTTTTGAAGTGCAAAATGACTTCAAAATTGTTCTTGTTTTTTTTACCTGTAAGTCTATTCCTGGCTGTATGCCATTCATTAGTAGAGAAGGTAAATGTTTGAAAATGTTCATTTCCACTTGTATATGATAGTGGAAAACTGGGGAGTAATTAGGAGAAATTCTATTAGATCACTTTAATGTACAGTTCTGCAGCTACTAGAATACTAATTGTGAAGATTACATAGCAAAATATTTAAGGTGTAGTAAATGGAAAAGAAGAATGCAAAATTTTAAGTATATGTTGATTACAACAATATGAGCCTATGTATGTGAACAAAACCCATAAAGGATTGTATGAAAATAAAAATAATAGTTTAATAGGTAGAGGTGTATAAGGGCCACTTGATTTCTTTGTTTTACAAATTCCAGGAGATTGGATGAAAATGCTAGGAAGAAGCATATGTACCTATTTTTCTTCCTGTTTAAAAATCTCATGAAGTATAAGAAATGATAGGAGAAAAGAATTTAAATTTTTAGCCATGCTGGTGCCATGAATGAGTACAATCAGGCATTCTTGGGAAAAAAAAATGCAGTTGTGCTTATACTGATGGAGGAAAATACAGCCAAAATACACATAGGTGAAGATGTTAACAATGGGGTATCAGCTCTGGGGGTGCTATGACCCCAGAAACAGGGCATCTAAGAAGCCAGAAGAGTATCAAAAGGGCACATAATGGATGGCAGTTGGTCCAGGTGGTGGGTCAGTGCTTACAAGAAACAGCAGGTGTCAATGGACTCTGTCAGTGAACACATGATTGAGGCTATGAATAGAATACCTCTTAATTTTAGAGGCTGAAGAGCTCCAGAATGTGCCTTCAGAAGATGGGTTACCTGTATCCCACTCCTCAGTACAATCAAGTGTGGTAGGCTTTTGGAAATAAGACATGCAGGCTTCAGCTCCTATTGATTTAAATCAACCTCATGTATCCCTTGTCCTGGCCATGAGGATTCCTTTAGGTATAGTTAAATAGTCCTGTGCTGGCACTGACCAACGACCCCAGGACCTTTGCTTAACTCTTGGGGAGAAAAGTTCCTGATGTCCATTTAGAAATAAAACTGAGAGACCCAGAAGATATTTTATAGCCAAGACAGGAATTTCCAATTTGAAATTAATGAAGTAGAGCAAAGCCCAGCCAAGTAACAGTGTGGGCATGGTAACCGAAAATCCTTGTTTTGGCATTTGGCATGTGATGTTTGAGGTGGTGATGGTGCCTGCCTATCTAAAAGAAAAGCTTGTTTTTCTAAAAGAAAGCTTTTTTTAAAAAATATAAAAGCATCCAAGGAAAACCAGTGAGTACCATTCCTTTCTGTAAGGCCTGAGCATGACTGAGAAAACTCACGAAAAAGCAACAGAAGCAATGACTTCACAGAGAATGTTTCATAAATTGACTGGGTAAAATATTCATGCTGAAAGGGATCCCAACACTTAGAGATAAAGCCTTTGAGCAGGTGGTAGTAATAATTACCCTGAGTTGACCATTATACATTAAAAATGTATCAAATTACAATTCCATAAACATTTACAACTGCTATGTATCAATTTAATAAGATTCACCCTGAAAATGAGTAGCTTTCCTATATGCCATTAATAATCATCTGGAAAATGCAAATAAGAATCCTATTTCCATTAGAAATGAAATCCATCAACAATTTAGGGATGAACAAGAAGAAATGAGTAAAATCCAAATAAAGAAAATTAAAATTATAGTCTTTATAGAAATACATGAAAAAATGCATAGACAAATTTTCTGTCCTGGCTGGAAACATAACAGTTTGTGAAGGTGCTTATTTTCTTCTTAAAAAATAAACTTGGAGCAAGACCAATGGATTGAACAAAGGGTCACTAAAGCTAGAATAAAAAGCTAATACGAAGAAAGAAATGAGATATATATTTGTGAAGCTGGAGTAGTTGTGAAGGTGTAGTATTAATATAAAAACAAACAAATTGAAGAATGAAATGGGGCTGAATTCAGAAAAACTGAAATACAGGAATTGGATTTATGATAAAGAAGTACTTCCGGGGCTGGGGATTTAGCTCAGTGGTTCCACTGCCTGCTTTGCAAGCACAAACACCCAAGTTCAATCCCTGGTACCAAAAAAAAAAAGAAGTATTTTGGTTAGAAAAATAACATTTTATAAGTGATGTTAGTATCAAGGGCTTTTCATTTGGAAAAGAATCTAGATGAAATTCTAGATTATATAATATTTTGTGTATTTTATTATACAAAAAAATAAGTTTCAACTATATTGACAGACTAAATGCTAAAAGCACCACCAGCCCTACTTCAAAGCTATAAAATCTTTAGAGAAAAATACAAAAAATGTATAGGCCTTCCTACATAAGACATGAAACCTAGATACTACAGAGAGAGAAGAAAGAAAAGATCTGTGTGTATATACATGTATATGTATGCATATCTATGTAGGGACATGTTTACATAATATTTTGAATATTTTATTTACACAAAGCTCACAAGATAGAGAGTACCTATATACTCTTCTTCCAGGTTTCCCTAATATTAACATCTAATATAACCAAGAAAACATCAAAATTTGATCTCTTACAGTTAAAAAAAATAAGCACATTAAGGCAAATTAACGAAGCATATGTTGAAGTTAAGGGTCATTGTGAGTAACAGACTATGATAAATATTTTCAATATACATAACAGGAAATATGTCAACCTATAGTAGTAATAAGCTCCTACAAACCAGAACTATAAATGGCAAATGACTCAATAAAATATATAGAATACGAAAGATTGGGCAAGTCACAAAGGAAGAAAAAATGATGTCCAAAACAATTTTGAAAAATACAAAGTTGTATTTAGAAAAATAAGAATTAAAATAAAGTGTCTGTTAAAACATTAAAAATCCAAAAGCTTGGGCCAGGGATTTAGCTCAGTGACACTGTGCCTGCCTCGCAAGCACAGGTTCTGAGTTTGATCCCTGGTACCAAACAAACAAAAAACCAGAAGCTTGATGGTACCAGGCCTTTACAACAATCAGTAATTAAAAGCCTAGCTAATCAATTATCATAGATTTTTCTATGCAGTAGTATATAGTGTGTACAAAGAATGGGGTGGAATGCTGTATTTATGGGGGAGGTTCTCTGGGACGTGCCACTAAAGAGAAGAATGCAAGTCACAGAACTCATAGTAGAATGTGATCCCCTTTATATTAAATCAGTGTTTATGAATGTGAGTAAATCTGTGTAAAAATAATGAGTACTGTATCCTTTAGGGCATAGGGAAAGGGATCATTCATGTTTTTAATTATGTAATTTTGTATGTTTGAATCTTACACAATATGAATATATTCACATGCTAATTAAGTTATACAAGTTGAAATGAGAAAAGAAATAACAACATTTTTCTTTCCTATTATTTATTTTACTGTTAAGAATATAAAACAGGGCTTACAGATATAGCTCAGTGGCAGAATGCTTGCTTAGTATATGTGAGGCCCTAGGCTTGATACCCAGCATGCCCACCAAAAAATACAAAATGGTATTTATTTATTTAAAGTAAGAGTGGGGGTATCTGCATACGTCCCCCACAAAAGGCCTCATTCCGTATGGATCACACTTCCTGATAGGTCAGGCTACTTTGAAGAAGCACACTCACTCGTTTCCTCTGTCTGTCAGGGACTAGCTGACCGACCCTGGGCCAGAGCTAAGGGGCCTTCCATTTCCCAGCAAATGCTGGCTCTTGGCAACACGTGCTCAAAGGCAGGTTGACATCCTAATCAGTGCTTTCTTTGCCTGTAGTGGCAGCGTTTCAGAAACACTGACACCAAGAAGGAAACAGCAGGTAAGTAGTGTTTCACTGGACAGAATGGGATTTGCAACTTCCAAGATTAAATTGAAACATATGACCAATTGTGAGCTTTAAATAGTGTTTTCAGGATGCTTGACAGCTAATCCAGAAATATAATATGGTTCCATTGAGAAAGTAGAAGCTATAATCCAAATCTTAAAATTTCCTTTTGTACAGCAGTAGGTGAGAGGGTTGTGGGTACAGTTTCCATGTACCGGGTGTTGATGCCTGTGCACATATTCACATGTGTACATGCACATGTGGCTGAGAATGTGTGTGTGTGACAGCACTGATATTTTATGCTGTTTTCCTTGGTAACCATCAAAATATCCCTCAGAGATAAAATTTTGACATAAGCAACATTTCCAAAAGGACAGAGGATGTGTAGGTATTTAGGAGATCATGGGGAAAGCAAATTCTGATTGGGTCAGGCTATTTAATGACTTAGATTTTCTCTTCGGTGTATCATTCTTTTATACATCCATCCACAGAACAAATATGTTTTATTTGTTAAATGAAAGCCAGAAAGAAGTATAGCAGATTATTGAGTATAGAAAGCAATGTAAGTATTAATCTTCCATGGGACTATTTTTATAAATGGCTCCATCCTGAAAATCTTTTACGTTTTAATTTTAAAACAATTTTCAAATAATTGATTTATTGTATGGCTATAATTTTGGATTTTTGAGTATCTTGGATTATCAAGATGTTGCCAGTTTCCACATTTTGTGCAAGATGTGTAGGACTGACAAGTGTCAAAGGACGTGTGTGTGTGTGGGGGGGAGTGATCAAGATGGGAAAGGCCAGAATTAGACCAAAAGTCAAAGTGAGAGCTTTCTTTTTTCTGTCTTTCCTTCTTTGATTTCCTTTCTTCCCCTTTTTTTGTCTCTTCTCCTAGGTCCCTTCTCCCTCTCCCGTTCCTGTTTAAGATTGTATCCCCTTTTCATAGCCAATATTATTCTGTCATTTCCCCTTCCATATCTGCATCTCTGCTGTATGTATGACTACAGTTGTGTGTGTGTGTGTGTGTGTGTATGTGTGTGTGTGTGTTTCTTCTGTAAAGGTTTATTCTGCACAGAGGAGAAGGGCTCAGTCCTTCTTGGCAGCTGCTTTCCTCATGGCGGCCAGCACGTTGCTGAGCTCGTGCACCCTCTTGGCTCTGATGTGCGTCCTCATCCTTTTCTTGATGAACTGGAGGGCCGGTTTGTCCTTAGAAACCTTGAGCAGCTCCATGGCGTGCCACTCAAAGGGAGCGAAGCCGCACACCTCATGTATAATGTCCCGCACGAGCTTGGTACGCTTGGTGAGGCATCCGCAGCGGCGGGTGTGCCTCAGTTTGCTCATATTCGTGGTCACCTTGTGGCCTTTATTAAGGCTGTGGGGTAGCATAGAGCCAGGGCCGCTGCTCTTCAATGGCTGCTGCAGGGGAAGGACCGGTGCCACGGGAACTCTGGGATGCCTGACTATAGTTCCTCCATCCCCGGTTTTTAAATAAGCTTTTAGAAAACATATTTAGTAATAGAGAAACTCTTAAGAATTTCCACAGTAGTTCAAATCATGATTTTTTTCTAGGAATATATTCCAAATAGGTCTGATTAGGAACTCTATTGAACAGTTAGTAAAGTTCTATTGCTATGTCATATAATGAGGAATAAAAATAATTGTTTTAAAAAGAAATAGATGGGTGTGGCGACACATGCCTGTAATCCCAGCACTTGGGTGGCTGAGGCAGGAAGATCACTGTGCGTTCCAGGCCAGTCTGGACTAAACAGTGGGACCCTGTCCTAAAAAACCAGAGGTGGGGAAGGAGGGAGAGAGACAAAGTGAGAACATTAAAAGAAAATGTAGCGTTCAGTATTCTCAGTTCTCAGTTTACTTTTTCTCCAAGAAATTTTCAATTGTGATTTTAAATTTTAAAAGTTTACTTCTGTGTTTTTTTTCAGCTTTAATTGAGTTTATTGGTACATTTTAGGGATACAGTACAGTTACATTCATTGTTGGGATCTTGCACCTCTACATGACAGGTCTTGGTTCTCATTTTTTTCCCCTTGTCCCTGCCCGCCCTTCACCCCATCCTTTCCTCCCCATCTACAAACACTTTATTTCCATCTTTTCATTATCTCACATTTTTGTTCTTTTCCCTTATTACCCTTCCCCTACCCATCCCATCTTCCCTACACCTTTAGCCCCTTTCTTCCCATTTCACAATGTCAGTAATCTCATTAGGATCTTATGTATTATTGCGGTTTATTCACACCAGAGAAACTATTTGGTATTTACACTTGTGTGACTTATTTATTTCAATTAGGAGTATATCTTCAATATGTATCCATTTTCCTATGAATGAATCTATTTTCTCGTTCTTTATGGCTGAGTAGTATTCCATTTTATAGAAAAACCACATCTTCTTTATCCACTTTCCAACTGATGGGCAAATGGGCTGTTTCCAAGTTTTAGCTATTACAAACTGTGCCGCTCTACACATGGGTGTGCATGCATCACTGTGATATGATTCTTTTAGTTCTTTTGGAAAGAAACCCAGCGGAGGGATGGCTGGGTCAAATGGAGCTTCCAGTCCAAGCTCTTTGAGGTATCTGCATATTGATTTCTGTAGTGGTTGCACCATTCTGCACTCCCATCAACAATGGAGAAGGGTTCCTTTCTCCCCACAACCCCGCCAACATTTGTTATTGTGTGATTTCTTGATAGCAGCCATTGTTTGTGGGGCGAGGTGGAATCTCAGTGTTGTTTTCATCTGCATCTCTTGAATGACCAGTGATGTGGAGCATTTTTTCATATATTTACTTGCTGCTTTTACTTCTTTGTCTGAGAAATGTCTGTTCATTTCGGACGCCCATTTTTGAATTGGGTCTTTATATTTTGGGGGAGCTGATTGTTTTGAATTCTTTATATATTCTTGATAATAGTCCTTTGTCTGAGGAGCAGCTGGTAAAAAATTTTTCCCACATTGTAGGTTGTCTCTTAGTTCTGCTGATGGTTTCTTTTGCAGTACAGAAGCTTTTTAATTAGATGAAATCCCAGTTGTTGATTCTTGCTGCTAGTTCCCATACTACTGAGGATTTGTAAGTCTCTTCCTATGCCAGTGTCTTCCAGAGTTCTGCCTAACTTATCTTCCAGGAAGTTTAGTGTTTCTGTTTTAATATTTAGATCTTTAATCCACTTCGATTTTAGTTTAGTGCATGGTGAAAGATAAGGGTCCAGTTTTAACCTTTGGCAGGTTGAAATCCAGTTTTTCCAACACCATTTATTAAAGAGGCTATCTTTCCTCCACTGAGGATGGTCAGCTCCTTTGTCAAAAATGAGGTAGCTGAGTACATCTGGATTTGTTTTTGTGTCTTCCAGTCTGTTCCACTGATCCTCAGGTCTGTGTTGTTAGTACTTTATTTTTTTATTTTTATTTTTGGTACTGGGGATAGAATTCAGGACCTTGCACTTGTGAAAGTATTTTATTTTTTATCTTTGTTGCTTTAAAATAATAAAAAATTTGGTGTGGAGAAATTTGAATTGGCAGCCAAAATGGCCTACTGCCAAAGAGTCAACAGTCAAATGCCAAACCAGATCTGAACTAAGCAAAGCAAAGCTTGTGTCTGTCTTAGTGTCTGCTGCTCCCTCCAGAGGAGTTGGTGCCCTAGTGGATTGTGGTAGCCCAGGACTGGCAGCTTAGGAAAAAGCAAAAACAAAATGAGCTCAAGTTTATTAAATTTTCTAACCTTCAGTTTCCTCTGTGAAAATGACATAATAGTAACAATACTTTTATCTCTTAGATATTCATAGTATTATAAATACAAAATAAAGAAGTAGTATTGATAAATTCTATATAAATATTTATTTCAGGACTTAGAGGGAACAGAAGTCATTGTTCTCCAAGGTTTTGTTCTAAGTTGTATTTATTTCTCATTCATGATTTGACTGCAGCAGTCATCTATATCATTGTCTTGGTGAAACCTTATATGTCTTTTAAAAATGTGACTACCCATGCTAACTGTACTAGTCGGTTTTCCAGAGAAACAGAACCAATAGAATATATGGATATACTTATGACATGTAATTTATTTTGAGAACTGGCCTATGAGATTATGGGAGCTGAGAAGTTTCGTGATAAGATATCTAGAAGCTGGAGGACCAGGAAAGCCAATGGTGTAATTCAGTTTGAGCCCAGAGGCCTAAGAACCAGAGAGGGCTTGGGTACTGATGTAAGTCCTAGAATTCGAAGGCCCAAGGAATGCTAGTGTTAAACATAAGGAGAACGTGGATGTCTCACTTCAAGAAGAGAGACAGAATGCACTCTTTCTCCATTCATTTGCTTTGTTAGGACTCTTAAGGTATTAGAGTTGTCTACACACAATGATGAGTGTTGATCTCTTTAGTCACTTTACTGATTCAAATGCCAGAGTCTTCTAGATACATATAGAAGCAGTGTTTTACTAGCTGTCTTGTGTATCCCTTACCTCAGCCAAGTTGACACATAACATTAACTATCATGATCCTTATCCTCAGTGAGATGCTGGAATTTAGAGTTTTTAAAGGAAAGGCTATGCATCAATATTCATTTTTATATTCCCACTGCAGTGCCTGGTTCTCAGCTGATGATTAAATGATTGTAGCATGACTGGATTTGCAAGCTTATTTATGGAAGGGGGTGGTGGTCCAGACCCTTATTAAGCAGTGCTAGGGAATCAGCGTCTAGAAGAATTCTCAAAATGATCCTTTCTTTTCAAGTTGAACTGAGGCCACATGTAAAAGATGATTTTGGAATAACTCCTGGTATTCTTCTGTAAATCCCAGACTCTTAAGGTTCTTAGATTCTTCAAACCTAGCTGTGGGGGCCAACCACATGTACACCACCTAACCATCCTCTTTGTACCCATATTACTAAATTCCCCTTTGGAACCTGAGTTTTGTATGTGCCATACCCTAAGGAGGATATTTTGGAATGGGGCAAGGGAGAAAGAAGAAATTCTATCATAAATTTAGGAACATACAACACAGAAAGTATTCAGCTAGTTCTAAAATTTTTGTTCTGTCTACAACTAATAACTGGAGTTTTCTCAGAGGAAAAATAATTTTCAGTGGAAGGTGAAGTTATCAGCACTATCAAGTTTGGAAGAAGGATCTTTTCTAGCAGCTGTAGTACAGACAATGAATTGTAGAACTCACAATGGATATTGTGTAAAGATAGGCAGAGTTACAGATGCATTGGTCAGGAATGAGCTGTTAGGGAGCACTGCACAACCAAAGAAACCCCAGGGAAAGCCCATTCAGAGATGGCCAGTGGCTGAACTCCCTGGTAACAACTTTTCTTCCCCAAGAGCAACCATGTCAGCGCAGATGGGGTAGCCATTTCATAATTAAACTCTTTTCTCCTAGTCTCTCTGAATCTGAGTTTTTAAACTATAAAATAGTGTAGTAAAAATTGATAATATCCCAGCCTATTTTACAGGATTGCTGTGAGTATAAAAAAGGACAAAAAGAAGCGATTGAGAGTCAGTCAAGTGTTTATCTTAGATGATCCAACAGGCCCATACAGAAAAGAATTATGGGCTAAAAGGTAGAATTAATGCTTATTTGTAGACTATGTTCCAAAATATTTTTGTATTGAAAACTGAAGCAAAATGTTTAAAAATAGTATTCATTGTGAGCCCCTTCAATCTAAGAGTTGAGTTTTATTACAAGTACAAAACAAACCTGGATCTTCAGATTTTTCAGATCAACCTTATTGAATTGATAGACTACTTGATTCAGGGCTTAGCCCTTGGCTTGTAATGAAGCATCCTTTTAGACAATCACTGTCATCTCTGTCAGTGCTTTGAACACTCTTACAAGTGCAGCCAAGGGAAACCTATCTCTCAGGGCTGCTACCCTCTGCAACACAGGAGCTGGTCATTAGTGCTTGGGAAGGATGGCTGTGACACACTCGAGCAACAGAGCCTCCATCCCCCTAGCCACTGCTATCCTTGCCAGTCAGCATCTGACCTGGAGAATTTGACATTCTCTCAGCTGGCTCCTTGGCTTTGACATTTAACCAGCGTGGCTTGTACTACAATCCAGTCACCTTGAATCTGGCTTAATTAAGCAAGGCTGCTCCTCCTCACTGACTTCTCCCTATGTGCTTCCTCAAATGACCAAATTTGGAATGAAGTTAGCACTGGATTCTAAGGCTACAAACCCAGCTTTTAGTTATGGTCCCTCATTATGCAAGCAGGGGTTCTGCCTCAGCATTAAAGTGATGAAAACAAATCTGACTTGGGAAAAATGAAATCCGGAGTCTGGTAAGGACAGAGAGCCAGGTGAGGCAAGAGGCCTATCAAGAGGAACTGGTTAGGAAAGGAAAGAGGGATGGCAGTAATTGTGACAGGGATGGGTTAGGT